GTACGTTAAAGTTTTTTCTTCAATTAATCAATGTAAACTCGGGGATGAGATTATCTAGAGGTTAACGTATTTATGTTATTTATAACAAGCGATAAGTAAGTGTCATGAAGGATAAAGAGTACACGAACTAAAGAAAACGAGTTTCGTTGAAGGTGGCCGATTTAGGATAAAATACGGGTCGAGCGATAATACCCGATAATTATGGACTAGTACCATGCAAGGTACCATATGAACACGGTAGTATGATGTATAAAGTATATTAAAAATAAATATAATTTTAAGTAATTTGAAATAATCTTTAATTATGCGGGTAATTGGTTAATTACCGGGTAACGGGACATTACCTAATTAACTAATAAGTGGATAAAGATTAATAATTCACTCCCACCCCCCCCCCCCCAAAACGTTGCAGCTAGTGTCACGATCCCAGTTCGCCCTACGTGAACATGTCGTGATGGCACCTAGTCCCTATAACTTGGTAAGCCTAACAATGCGGAAATAACAACCTAACTTGCGAAATAATTAATTAGAACTGAACATATCAAAATAATAACTGCATATAAGGCCGCTCGGCCTATACAACTCAAAAGAAATGCGGAAGTCTACAACTCAATCCCAAAACCCGGAAACTCACGGGAACCACAGGCTAACGGAAACATAGTACGCTGCTCTAACTCCAGAATATCTAAACAACTGAGGGAAAAGGGATAAACTAGATACTAAAGCTGGAACAAAACAGAGACTCTTGGTCTGCGGACGCGGCAGATATACCTCGAAGTCTCCACGTATCTCCTCGCCTCAAGGATAGTGCGCCTGAGTAGAGGTACCTGGATCTGCACATGAAAAACATGCGTAGGAAGGGCATGAGTACACCATAGCGGTACTCAGTAAGTGCCAAGCCTAACCTCGGTTGGGTAGTGACGAGGAAGGTCAGGGCCCTACTGAGGTTAAACAATATAATATAAATCAACAGTATGAAAATAGGCAGTGACAGTGAGTACAGCAGTGGAATAAGACAGACTAAACAAAGCAATAACAAATACACAAAGAACGGAGCAAACACAGAATAAGTATAGCTCATTACCAATGGTAACAATGAGGATCTCCCAGGATACCGTCTCGTAGTCCAGCTATCAATGTGTAGGGGGATCTATCGGGAATCTAACCCGCAGTCCTAAAGTAAATGTGCAGAGGGATCTATCGGAAATCTAACCCGCAGTCCCAAGGTAAATGTGCAGGGGGATCTATCGGGAATCTAATCCGCAGTCCCAAAGTAAACAGACAAGGGGGGGGGAGCTACCGGAATCCCACATCCGTAGTCCCAATGTAAATTCGCAACCACAGCCAAAAATATACCAAGAAATGAAGTACGAAATACAAACACAGATAGAACTAGCCGAGCATGCTTCACGTAGAACAGTCAAAACAACTTAAGCAACTAGGCAGTCAAGTAAGCTAAACATGTTTTTCCTAATCTAGCACAAGTTATAAATTCAAGTAGAGTAAGGCAAGTAAGAAAGAAACTAAATCTCAATAATTTAAGTAAAAACCGGATTTTCATCGATCGACTCAAGTACGCGCTCGTCACCTCACGTACAAGGCACTCAAATATCAAGAACAATCCTAAGGGGAAAGGTCCCCCACACAAGGTTAGACAAGCCACTTACCTCGAACCAGCTCAATATCAACTAGAAACCACGCTCTTGCCACGAGTATCCGACTCCAAATGGCCCAAATCTATTCAATTCAGTTACATATCGTAAATAATATTGCAAACAACTGATTCCGCTAATAAATTTAAAGCTAGGGCGCAAAAATAGGTAAGATGACCAAAACGCCCCTCAAGCCAACGTCTCGGAATCGAATAATTTTCACATTTTTAGAACCTTCGTACTCTCACGAGTCTAACCATATAAGAGTCTCCCAATTCGGAGGTCAAATGCCCACTCAAAACTCAATAGTTTAGGCAATGAAGTTTTACCCCAAATTATCCAATTTTTGATCCTAAAAGAATTCCAATGATGTATTTAACTATATAATGATGAAATATAACAAAAAGGGACCAAAGAAACGTTACCCGGTGATCTTCTCTTCGAAACCCACTCAAAATCGCCTTAAACCGAGCTCTCAATTGATTTTTTTCAACTTATGAAATTAAAACCCTCGAATTTCTATATCTGCACAGTGAATACCGCTTCTGCGGTCTAGGGACTGCTTCTGCGGTCCTGCCTATGCGAAACACTGGCCGCTTCTGCGGCTTCTTTTAAAAGGCCAGATCTCCGCCTCTGCGGATAAATAACCGTTTCTGCGGTACCGCTTAGGCGGAAAATCAACCGCTTCTGCGGTTCCTGAGGGGGGGGACCAAACTCGCTTCTGCGGCTCCGCTTCTGCAGTTCCCAAGCCACAGAAGCGGAAATACCAGAAGGAACAAAAATACCAGCTGCTGCAAACTTAGAAATTTCCTCCGTTAACCACCCGAAATCATCCCGAGGCCCCCGGGACCTCAACCAAAAGCACCAATACCACCTAAAACCATATCCGAACTTGTACCAATCCTTAAAACACCTAAAACAACACCGGAAACCCGATTTAATCAATGATTCAAGCCTAAGAACTTCAAATTTCTTCCAAATACGCTTTCGATCAAAAACCTAACCAAAATACGTCCGAATGACCTAAAATTTTGCACACACATCCCAAATGACATGACGGAGCTACTGCAACTTCCGGAATTCCATTTCGACCCTCGGATCAAAGACTCACTATCGGACCGGAAACTTCAAAAATACAAACTTTGGCATTTTAAGCCTAAATGAGCTACGGACTTCCAAAATTCATTCCGAACACGTTCCCAACCCCGAAATCACCTAACGGAGCTAACGGAACCATCAGATTTCCATTCCGAGGTCGTCTTCACACTGTTCCGATTACGGACCATTTTTCAACACTTAAGCTCTCATTTAGGGACTAAGTGTCCCAAAACACTCCGAATCCTAACACCGAACGTCCCGGCAAACCAAAATAGTAGAAACGAACTTAGGGGATGCAGTTAAGGGGGGATCGGGGCGTAAATTCCAAAAACGACCGGCCGGGTCGATACATGCTCCTACACTTAAACATTCGTTCGTCCTCGAACGAGCATAGAGAACATACCTGAAGTAGTGAAAAGATGAGGGTACTGGCTGCGCATATCCTGCTCGGTCTCCCAAGTCGCCTCCTCGACCGGCTGACCCTGCCACTGAACCTTCACTGAAGCAATGTTCTTTGACCTCAACTTTCTGATCTGTCTGTCCAATATAGCCACTGGCTCCTCAACATAGGATAGGTCCTTATCCAACTGGACTAAACTGAAATCCAACACGTGAGACGGATCGCCGTGATGCCTCCGGAGCATCGAAATATGAAATACCGGGTGAACTCCAGCCAAACTGGGAGGCAAGGCAAGCTCATAGGCAACCTCCCCAACTCGCCGCAAGATCTCAAAAGGGCCAATAAACCTCGGAGTCAACTTTCCTTTCTTCCCAAACCCCATGACGCCTTTCATAGGCGAAACCCGAAGCAGAACCCGCTCACCAACCATATATGAAAGATCATGAACCTTCCTGTCCGCGTAACTCTTCTGTTTGGACTGGGCTGTACGGAGTCTATCCTGAATCGTCTTAACCTTCTCCAATGCATCCTGAACCAACTCTGTGCCCAATAGCCTGGCCTCACCCGGCTCGAACCAGCGCACCGGAGATCTATACCTCCTACCATATAAAGCCTCATACAGCGCCATCTGAATGCTAGACTGATAACTATTGTTGTAAGCAAACTCCGCCAGTGGCAAGAAATGATCCCAAGGCCCTCCAAACTTAATCACACACGCACGGAGCATATCCTCAAGAATCTGAATAGTGCGCTCAGACTGTCCGTCCGTCTGGGGTGAAATGTTGTGCTCAACTCCACCCGAGTGCCTAACTCCTGCTGCACGGCTCTCCAGAACCGCGATGTGAACTGGGTACCTCTGTCCGAAATGATAGAAACTGGAATACCATGCAGACGGACAATCTCCCGGATATAAATCTCCGCCAACCGCTCCGATGAATAAGTGGTACACACAGGGATGAAATGAGCGGACTTGGTCAGCCGATCCACAATGACCCAAATGGCATCCAACTTCTTCAAGGTCCGTGGGAGTCCTGACACGAAATCCATGGTGATGCGCTCCCACTTCCACTCCGAAATCTCTATCTGCTGAAGCAACCCACTCGGGCACTGGTGCTCATACTTCACCTGCTGGCAGTTGAGGCATCTAGACACATAACCAACTATATCCTTCTTCATCCGCCTCCACCAGTAGTGCTGCCACAAGTCCTAATACATCTTCGCGGCACCCGGATGGATAGAATACCGCAAACTATGGGCCTCTGCTAGAATCAACTCTCGAAGACCATCAACATTGGGCACACAAATTCGGCCTTGCATCCTCAATACCCCGTCATCTCCAATGGTCACATCTCTGGCATCTCCACACTGAACCTTGTCCTGAAGGACAAGCAAATGAGGGTCATCATACTGCCGCTTCCTGATACGATCAAATAAGGAGGACCGGGAAACCACACAAGTTAGAACCCGACTGGGCTCTGAAAGGTCCAATCTCACGAACTGGCTGGCTAAGGCCTGAACATCCATCGCCATAGGCCTCTCTGAAGCTGGTAAGTATGCCAAACTCCCCAAACTCTCTGCCCGGCGACTCAAGGCATCCGCCACCACATTGGTCTTGCCCGAGTGATACAGGGTAGTGATGTCATAATCCTTCAGCAGCTCTAACCACCTCCTCTGACGCATATTAAGATCCTTTTGCTTGAGTATATGCTGTAAACTCCGATGATCGGTATAGATCTCACAAGGCACGCCGTACAAATAATAATGCCAGATCTTCAAGGCATGAACAATAGCAGCTAACTCGAGGTCATGGACAGGGTAATTCTTCTCATGTATCTTCAACTGATGGTAACCTGAGCGCAAGTCAATCTTAGAAAATACCTGTGCGCCCTGAAGCTGGTCAAACAGATCATCAATGCTAGGCAAAGGATAACGGTTCTTCACTGTAACCTTATTCAGCTGGCGGTAATCAATACACATGCGCATAGAACCATCCTTCTTCTTCACGAACAAAACAGGAGCACCCCACGGTGAAACACTGGGTCGAATAAAACCCTTACCAAGTAATTCCTTTAACTGATCCTTCAACTCTTCAACTCAGGAGGAGCCATACGATACGGAGGAATGGAAATGGGCTGAGTGCCCGGCAACAGATCAATGCCAAAATCAATGTCTCTATCGGGCGGCATGCCCGGAAGATCAGCTGGAAACACATCGGGATAATCCCGTACCACTGGAACTGAATCAATAGAAGGGGTGTCAACACTGACATCTCTCACAT